GGCGGCAAATAACCCCGCCAGTATTACTGAAGGTGAGACTTAATACTGCATGCAAACGAAGTGGGAGATACTTTGAGGTCGCTTGCTGTTGGAATGGATCTTCCTATCTGTTGGTGTAGTGGCATAGCCGCCCCATCCCGGATGAACTGATATTCTGAGTGCGTGCGCTTGTCAAGTTGATTGACTGTAGCATATCTTGTAGTGGCATAGCCGCCCCATCCCGGATGAACTGATATTCTGAGTGCATGCGCTTGTGAAGTTGATGGACTGTAGCATATCTTGTAGTGGCATAGCCGCCCCATCCCGGATGAACTGATATTCTGAGTGCATGCGCTTGTGAAGTTGATGGACTGTAGCATATCTTGTAGTGGCATAGCCGCCCCATCCCGGATGAACTGATATTCTGAGTGCGTGCGCTTGTGATGTTGATGGACTGAGGCATATCTTGTAGTGGCATAGCTGCCCCATCCCGAACACATTTGTCTGGAAGCGAAATATGTCTTCAGAGCTTGATTATGCCGTTCGGTGAATGGCGTCGGAATATTTATTCAGCGAATTGGGCGGCTATGTCGGTGGACTATAACATTGTGAAACCTATTTGCCGAATGGGGCTGCTATGCCAGCGGACAAAACCATTTAGAAATCTATTTGGTGAATGGGGCCGCTATGCCAGCGGGCAAAACCATTCCGGAATCTATTTGGCGAATGGGGCTGCTATGCCAGCGGACAAAACCATTCAGAAATCTAATTAGCGACTGGGGCCGCTATGCCAGCGGACAATACGATTCAGGAATCAATTTGGCGAATGGGGCCGCTATGCCACTGGATTGGGATTTCAGATGCATCAGTGCCACTCATTGGGTGGGGATATTAATTTGGCCCTCCCATAAAAGCATCATATTTGCGAGGAAGAAATCAGCTAAGTGATTCAAATGGGGATTCCACGACTACCGCCCTTTGATGATCAAAGGAATGAATCTCACTGATACGAATATTAATTCCGTGGGGACAATCTTCTATCCTGCACAACTTTGGCTTGGTTGTTCAACGATGTTTGTCTCGGTTATATTTGCTCCTGAAATAATGCTCCTCTGCTTCTCTCGAAGGGCCCAGCTTATCTATGAAAAGTACCACTTTCGGCATGCTACCTCTATGTCGAAGAGAACTATGGAATATAACATTTAGCCTTGGAATGTTGGCATAACAACGTCGTAGAATCAATTGATGATGAGGAGTATCCGCAAACATATTCCCCCAGGGAAATCTGTATGCATAAAATGGGCGGGTAAAAATAGTCGCTCACTGATTACGACTTCCTGGTCAACTAAGCCCAATCGGAGGTGTCAACACCGCTGTGGTTAAGCCATGAGATTATGATCAATTTAGTTTTATCATTCGTGGAGGCCTGGAAAAAGAGGCTCACAACAGGCTCTACATCACATTGTTCTCAGATTTGTTATATATATGTTCCGTCATGTCGCAACCGGCTTTATCGCTAGTGATTAGTCTCATATTGAGACTCTATGATCCTTTTCCATTTAATTTCCCGATGTCCACGAGATATGTTACACGTTGGCACATCGACAAGCTTACATATGTTCATGAGCTGAGCTGAGTTATTCATCATGATCATGTTGTCGAGCCGATTCTGACTTTACCTTGGCTGTCCCGGTTGACATACGCTTGGCATGCGCTATAATGCTTGATAGTATACAGCTTCCGAGGCTCCTGTGATGAAGGTTTACAGTCTTCTTACGAATTGCCATGTTGCGTGTTCAATAACGCAAACCATAATACAAAACAGTGATTATGACTGTAAAAAGCGTTACAAGTCCTCGCGAGCTTCTTATCAGTGTATAAGTTGGCAGTGCGTGGGTGTCCCGAAACCGAATCTGTTGCAACGGTGGTGAACATTAGGATGGATTGTTGTGTGAGATCCCAGTTTGACTTTGTTGCGCATGATTAAAGATGTAACTAATTTTTCGGGCTCCGAGCTGCGATGGGTCTCATTCACCTGACGTCAGATTTCCGTCAGCGTGATACATCAATCGTCGAAAATAGAGAGCAATCTGCGACTGATCAGACTGGGAAGGGAATGGAGAAAGGCTCCTCACGAGGAAGATTCGAGAGTGAACCGAACAAGACACCTTCGATCCACCGAAAAACAATCATATTTCCCGTTATACTTCACGACTCTCACAATCTTGATCGACCGGGATCGAACTCATATCGTTCATGAGGATATTGACCGGATTTGATATTGGTTTTCGACTCATCTGCGTGTTTAAACGCTGATGAGGTTTCGAAGCTCCCTTCATTTTTCAGCAGGATAGGGAATATTCAAGCCATTCCCAAACTGTTGCACTCAACCTGATATCCTATGCGTCGTGGCCTTCCCGTAACATCACTCCTCCTAGTCGGGATCTATTGGGATGTTCAGTATTCCTCTCCCGAATCTCATAAGCGCTCCTAGGATCGAGGTTTACATGTGAAATCCAATCCTGGAAGGGGTCGTGAAGCTCAGGAGAGGTCTATTGAGCATGATGTAAGGAGTCGGGATCCCGAATGTCGATAACGCGTGCCCTACGGACTAATACCAGAAAAACCAGAAATAAGACGCCCCTCACTAAGGACTTGTCGCCCAAATTTGAAGGAATCTTGCTCTCTTGCATGATCTTGGCCACCCTGACCCTGTCGCACCAAACGCAACATCGAAAATGTTTCCATCGATCGGAAATCACTCGAGTAGTTGAATATCACTCATAGTAACTAACATGGATTTAAGTAGATCGCACAGTGGAGTGTCTCGTGATCAATACGACTCAGATCGTTGGCTCAATCAGAGATAAAATAGCATTAGAAGCGACTAACCGTTCAGGAGACGGGAGACGTACGAGACTGGCAAATTATCAAGTTGTCGACTGTCTCTAGTAGAGTTGATTTTATTATCTCTCAGCAGTCTCTTATCGTATGAAAGAGTTGGTCACTCTCGTGGGTAGGGTTGACAGCAACGGATGGTCGTGTGTGGCGAGGGAAATGTTCACGTGAATCGTCCGTAGTGCTTTACTATGGAGTATTGGGGCTTCAACATTTCAAATAGTACGATGTGCTAAGTTGGCTTGTGTAGGGTTTTTACCGTTCAGTTTTACCATGGCTCGCCGGTGTTCCCCACGGAAAGCGGCGATCGAGGCGCGAAAACGGCTAAGTCTGGGGAGTGGTCGTCTGAGAGCCCCACGTGAGTAGATGTGAACTTCATTCTTTATGAGTGTATATTTGGACTCAGGGACTCAGCAGCGTTCCCCTCGGTCGTCTATGAAAAAAGCAAGCCCAAAAGTTGCTCGAAAATCTTCGCTGTGCGAAGATACGCCGGGGAGTAGCAAGATAACGCCGAGGAAGAAATTTTGGTCGGACGAGGATGGAATTGGGGAACTGGCGAGGCATTGTCGGGCGGGACGGAAAACACTGTGGGAGAAATTGCCTGGATATTCAGTACAGGTGGGGATGCTCTATGGGACAATTGATGAGGATTCATACCGTAAATTGTTCAGTTCGAGCTCGATGAGAAACGGATCAGTCTGAAGGTCTGCGGAGAGGACTTGGGTCGAGGAGAGAGGCAACTGTATTTGGTGAGTAATTGGAGAAGAGGTCTCGGGTTCGATCCCTGGCTGGCGCATTCTCGCTAATATGATGATAGTAGTTCGTTCGACTGTCAGGTGAATGAGGTCGTATATGATATACGTAATTGCCTCGGTGCGTCGATGTTCGTTGAGGGTTTCCCAGAATGCAAGTTGAAAGAAGTTGGTGAGCGAGGAAGATATTCAGGCTCGACGATCAACTGTGCTTCTCTATGTGTAAGTCGCGCCGTAGTTGAGGTATGCCTCTGCAGGTCGCCTACAGATACTACACGATGGTCGCAATGCGCCTAAGGAGCAGTCGCCTGTTGTATTGGCTTCCTGCCTGTATAGATATGATGCCGTTAGTCGAGATGCTATGATACTACTCTTCACGACAGCTAAGAGCGTTATGTATCCTGTCCCAAGAGGTGAGGTCTCGGGTTCGAACCCCGGTGCGGTCATTTTTCCTTTGCTTGCCCTGGTTTGGGGTGCGTGAATGTAGATAGATGTTTGTATTCCCTCCGTTGAAGGTCGATCATCTGCGGCGAGGGTTGCTTTATTGTTTAACCCATGTGAAACCGCCTTCACGTGGCTCAGTGCCATTTGGTTTACTGAGAGCTTCGGTGTTCGCTCACCTCAGCTGAGCTCAGGAGTTTCCTCACTAGTTATACGAATTTTGGTAGCTGTGCACAGAAACCAATAACAATTTTTTGGAATTCCCTCAGAGTGTTTATGTTGACACCAACACACGTGCATACCATCCCACACGGGGAAGTTTTGGGTCGTCGTAGTCGAACGATGTGCGATAAGATGGTTCTGCCAATTCCCATATTATCATTGTGATCTACAGGAACTATGTGTATCAAGATCACCCTCTAGATTGTTATTGTATTTATTCTTGTTTGATTAGGTCGACGTGGGTATGAGTTGGATTGTCGTGGTAGGGGTCTGGGCAGACTTCTGGACGAACAGTTATGTGAATGGTTGATGAAGTATAAAGAATGCCGATCAGCGTATGTGGAGATGCTCAATCAACACGTGGCTGAGTTCTGGATGAAGATCGGGTAGGTTGAGGGTCGAATTGTAAGTAGGGTTGTGGTATAGTGGTAGAGCGGAGTGTTGTTTATCGTGAGGTCGCTGGTTCGAATCTATCACTTGGTTGTTGCACCTTGGCCGTCTGTTTGTTTGTACTATTATTTTATTGAAACTATCACCTCAGCCTACATGGTTTGATTTAATATGCGCTTATGGTAGTGGACGTTAGCGGAGCGAAGCGTTTATTGTTTATTAATTTCTTCCAACAGTTACGTACCGTTGATCAGCCGATATGACGTCAATCAGACCTTTCGTGGCTTCCACGGTACGGAATTGGCGCGGAAGATGTTATGGTATTGAGTCGAGATTCTCCAACACGGTTACACGCAACAGGTCGTGGGTTCAATTCCGCGTGAGGGTATTTATTATAGTTGCCTACTTCCGCCGACTGCAGGGAATATTTTGCTCCCTTCATTAGGGATGCAGTTCATGCACTGCTGTTGATTTGTGTTGAGGGTCTGGCATTCCCCTTCCTATGTGACTAGCCTTTTGAGAGGTCTTCGGTGCAGGCCTCCCCAGAGACCGATACCACATGATATTCTTTATTAGTGTATACTATATGCCTTCGTTTAGTATTATTTTTATTAAAGTATACCATAATATCATCTAATCGAATATATTCATATCGTAATATGGGGAATGTTGGAACTGGAGGTCTCAGGAGTGAAAGGAGCTCAGCTATTTGAGCAAATTCAAATAGTATGCTCCTAAAAGGTTATTGTTTTGATAAATGGCTTTGTGTGGAAATTTGATTTTGTCGAGTTATCCCCCTTTTCGGTCACTCCTTATAAACTATGGGTTGCGGTGCATCTTCCTCTGCTTCTGCCCCTAATGCTGATGAGGCTGTCAAGGCTGCCCCTGTGGAGGTGAGCGGAACAGTTACATATATGAGTATGGTCATGTTCGCGTCGTCAGGACTCCAAGACTGCGGGCCAGTCGGCTGAGTGTTGCGAAGGTGAGTTTAGTTGAGAGGACGATTGTTGTGGTTGGAGATAATCAGTTTGTTTGTATTGACCGATGGTAGAGAAACAACGAGTATTGATACTATTCATCAATATCTAGATGTATGAATATGTATTGGAGTAGATATTCGTGCTTGGGGTGGTTGAGATGAATGAGTGAGTGAGATTGGGATGCACTATCGTAGGTAAACCAGCTGGAGAGGAATGTAAGGGTGATTGCAAAGAAGCTCATAATGAACCGGAAAAGGTGAGAAAACGGAGAAGGGTGGAATCGAACCTGAGTGCTGCGGTGTATGGATGGGGTTGTTAACCGTTGTGGTATTTCAGAATGAAACTGGAGGTCTTGAAGATAAGAAGCCAGAAGAGAGTGTAAGTAGATGAGAGCACACGGTATTTTGTGGCGCGCGGTCATGGTGACTTTCAGCCCGATGAGAAGGAAGAAGCCTCTAAGGATGCCGGGGAGGAGCCTGCGGCGGCTGCTGCTGTAAGATTCGTTCGGGCTCGTGATTCGGTGCGTGTGAAATATTTCCATGCCCTATAGTGGTGAGTTTTCTCACCGATGATAGTGAACTCACTTAAAGAGAGCGATGTGTCCATTCTATCTTCACAAAGATAAATATGACCCCCACTTCTCCGTAAAATCGATTGATCGAATCAGTAGACGCGGGGCAAGCGAGCTCCGCCCCTTGGTCACAAAGACCTAGTTGATCGCTTCAGTGTTGTAAAACATGATCGATCTCATTTTATCGCCTCAACTGTTGGTAGAAAATTCATGTGTTGGCGTCGTAAATTGGCGCGGTTCGCTGAGGTTTATATTTGATTAATATTTTCGAGGAAATGAGAGAATTTTGGTATGTGTTTTCAGGAGGCTGCTGCAGCTGAAGAAGGTGTGAAGGAGGAAGCTCCCGCCGCTGAGGAGAAGGTGAGGCATCGTTGAATCTACTGTGTGTTATGGATGGAGTGGTATGAGAATCTGCACGCATGCGCATTGAAGATTCACTTTGATATTCTATCTACTTCAGGCCGCTGAGTAAGTGCTGAAGAGGCTGCGGCTGACTAGACAAAGGTGGTCGCACTTGATTGGAGGCGTTAAAAAGTTATGTGTGTTATAGGCGATCTACCAGCCCGTTGTGAATTCATCATCATATTCATCATCATGAGTGCTGCTGTTCATACACGGATGTGTTGAGTTGTTAGTCTTCGGACCACGGGAGTAGGATTGTTGGTGATTTGCCAATTGAGATATCACCACACTAGATATAATTGCACGGGAATGTTATAGCGTGCAGTCTTGTGAGAGAACAAGACAATGTACGATAATAGATCATTATATCTATTATCTCAACGCGAGATATATGGTTCGAATTTTTAGTAATTCGGCGTTATATCAAATATTACGCCAAACCCGAATGCTAGTCTGCAACCACTAATTTCGACCGCATTACTCACTATTACTTCCAAGGCTGCCTGTTCATACTTAGCCTTGGACGTAGACTATCTTCATCATAAGCTCAGCTGCGGGATTCATTCAGCCTGGAGAGACAGATTGTGTTCTACGGGGGATGGGGACAGCGACAATGATGATGCAGCAGCATCTTACAGGGTCCTGATGTTGGCGAAAATAAGACATTACTCCAACGTTAATGCTCTGTTATTCAAGGGTGAGCGAACTCGAAGTGACAGTGTGTGTTTGCTGTTCTTGTTCAACTGCATAGGATAGATAGTGATGTATGATTTCGCTGTTGATGATCGTCAGGGTGGGAGAACATGCACATGGTCCATTTTCGGTGGAGGACTATACGTTCGCTCGGGAGTTTCCTCACGAACTAGAGAGATTTACATAATTAATTCGGGTAAAGAAGAAGACGGTTTGAAAATTTCCTCCAAAAATTCCATTTTGTCACCAACACTGCTTGTGATTGTATTATATCATCGTCAGTTGGAGTGGCCCTGAGCTTCACCATCAGTGATGGTGAAGTAAAAACCCACTAACCCACTAAAACTCACGCCGTGATGGTCCATCACGGCGTGAGTTTTAGTGTGTCGCGAAATTTTCCCTCACCCCTAGTAGTGTCGAAGTATATGTTCGCTTTTTTTCACCTGGGCCTAGTAGTTTCCTCACTAATTATAAAAGTTTACATACAAATTTGGGTAGAAGTGTCCAGAAACAATGATAATTTCCTGAAATTTTCCTAAAATTTTCCTAAAATTATCTACAAAATGGCACCTACACATGTAGCTGACCATGTGCATATTTTACCACACCGATGAGAATCGGTTTCACCCCATACGGCTTGACGATGGAGTGGCTGTTGATAACAATTTATTTCATGAACATTCAACTGATTAATGTCGATATAGGGTCGATGGCTGGTTCGATTCTTGGTGAGGGCATTTGTCCAACAATTTTTTCCACACGGCTTTAACAAAGTATCTCCCACGGGGGTCTGAGGACTGTACCATGGATGAGTAAAATACAACGTTGGTTGGAATCTGGAAAAAAAATTTTCCGTAAAATTTTCCGAAATGCATTTCACGTCAGGGTATTTATTATTTTCTTCCCCCTGCTCACTTCATTTGATATATTTTTACGAAAAAAACATAAAATTTTCCGAAATAGATTTCACGTCAGGGTCTTTATCATTCAGCCTGATCAATAGTAATGAGAGGAGCGAAGATGTTGTTAGTCGAGCAATCGCTACCATTGCTATGGTTTAGCTTCATAACTAACACACCTTTCATTTACAGCTTTGAGTAGTATCCTTGTTGAAGTGTTGTTCTCGTAATATTGCTGAGGTGTTGCATGAAATGGTTGTGATGAACGCGTATCCCTTATGCACACTCGTCATTGTTCCTGTGCACAATCGGCGACTATAATGGTTCCCTCATCATGCGCAGTCATTGGTTTTCATTATGCTCGTTCCGCCTTCGCCAATCTTGCCTCCCCCGAGTGGCTGGACTATGGATATGCTTTTCCCGATACTGACGCTCTATACCAATATAACCGGACGCTCTCGCCATGCTTCAAATGATGACGAAGACGACATGCCTGAGCGAATCTCCGCGAATAGTATGAAGCTGTCATAGCCAATCTCTGTGATGAGTAACGAACTTGAATGGTGATGAATGCAACGCTTTTCTCTCGGCGAGAGCTTTTCGCTCCTAACTGAAGTCTTTAGATAATGCGGCAAGATACTCTTAATCTAAGAATACCTTAACTCACTAACCAACACACGCTCCTGAAGGCGCAACCTCTTGTGCCTGCGAGTAGACAGTGTGGCAGTTGGAGGGAAA